AGACCCCTTCCCGCATCCCCCGTGGGCTACAAGGCTGGGTGCTGTCTAGGTGGGCACAGCCTGGCATCGCCTAGCACTCAGGGGAGGAGGGCATGCCATGCAAGGGGGAGAGGCAGAGCTGGACCAGCAGAGCTGGACCACCCCTCGGACCAGCATCTCTCCCAGCCCCCCCCCCCAAAAAGCTCCAAGCGAGTCCCCCCCAAAAAGCCCCAAGCGTGGGTGGGTGGGTGACCTGTAGGGCTCGATGTTGCTTAGACCAGAGGCTTTGAGAGAGGTGTCTTTTTAATACTACTACTAATAATGAGGCTCTGTCCAGCCCCTGCTCACAGGAGGGATTTGGGGACAGAAATCCTCGTGCCTACATCTCTCTTTATTTTTCCCCCGTAAAAACTTTATAGTGTCCCGTGACTACTACCAGTTTCGTGTGGCTTGTGTAGGGGTGGGGAGGCTGGGGGGAGACACTCGGAGAAATTCAGGCCTTGTCAGGATGTATTGAAGTTGGGTTTAAAAAGGAGAGAGAGAAAGAGAGGGAAAGAAAACCCCATGCTTCAGATGATTTTTCCCATTTTCTCAGATTTCAAAGGCTCCCCGCCGTGCGGCTGCCTAATTAATGGTGAAATTCAACTAAATCTAATTATGCAGTAATTTTAAAGCAGTTAGTCCTGGGCGTTGCTTTGTAATAGGACCCCAGTTTTTTAAAGTTTGCTTAATGTGTTGGTTTAGGGGGTGTGTGTGGCTGGGAGGAGCCGGGTTTTGTACAGCAAAGACATGCAAAAAAAAAAAGAAAAGAAAAGAAAAAAGAAAAAAAAATACAACCGACCCACCAAAATCCCTAGCGAAGAGAGTGCGTGTAGCTGGGCTAGGAGCAAGGAAGAAGGACCCCGGAACAGGCAGTGTAGTCAATGCGAGGCTGATGCAAAGGTGCCCAGAAAGGGATTGAGTTATTGTTTGGTTTGGTTTTTTGCCGGGGGTGGGGGTGAGCACTGGATTTCCAAGCCTCCCAGCTATCTTTGAAGAGGATCTAAGCTGTGACAGTCCGAGGGGGCCGTGTGGACAGACAGACAGAGCCTCCCGCGGGATAATCTAAACCAGATTTCAGCGATTGAGCATCCGTTGTCAGGCAAGGCGCTAGGCTGGTGCTCACGAAGTTATAAATCTTATCGGCCTTTTGATAACACAGTTGTAATCAGTTAGCATCGCATTCGGATCCAATTGTAAAACTGCCTCATTTCATATGTCATACATGCCATTAAAACTGGATCCCCCCCTCCCCTCCCCAAGTAAAATGTCATCAGGTCTGGGGTGGGGGGCTGCTCAGCTCAGGTGAGAGCCTCTGCTGCTCCGCGGTGGGGCTGGGGCTCCCATCTAGGCCAGCGGAGGAGTTTCTCTGTTAGCAGGGCTGGTAAAGAGGAAGCTGGAGCGAAATGCCCTTTTTTCCCTGCCCGAGAGCAACCTCCCAGTGAAGTTCCTTGAAAGAAACTTGTCTTATGATTAGCTAAGCAAACACATCTGCTTTCTTACTTTGGGCTCAGTTAATTATCAAAACAAAAGGACCAGGTTCACCACCATCCCCCGTTTACCTTGCTGGGAAGACGATGTTATTTCAGGAGATCTGCCCCCCCCGTACCCTCCTACCCTCCCCCCAGCCCAATCCCAGCTTCCCCACTGCAGCAGCAAGCTGCTTTCTACTCGGATTACTGCCTGAGAGGCAGAAGAGTTCGCGCAGTCTTTTCCCCATGTCAGGCGTTATCATTACCCTCCTTGGAACAATATTTTTCCACCAAATATCCCTTCTGCTG